AGACAGCTAAAAGCTAAAGCCGCGTGGCCACCCCACCCCACCCACGTCACTGCAGTGCTGCCCTGGAGTCGGTGAGCATTGTTCTCTCTGGCTCTGTATTCCTGCAGTTATGCCGGTGTAGCAGTGAGGAGGACAGATGGTGGCTTTGCGTCAACATTCACATAAGTGGTACAGTACTGTGTGCGTCATTGGCAGCTCGGGTTATTCCTCTCAGCATTGTTTTTCTGAGTTTCATCCCTGTGGGTCTGTTGCATCCGTTTTCCCTTCCTTCCCTGCTCAGCTCGGGCCACCGTAGCAAGTGCCACAGAAGGGAGTTTATTCCTCCGACCCACTGAGCCTGGATGGGAGGTCAGGGTGCGGGCTCACAGTTGAGTTTCCTGTGAGCCCCCAGGCCCCGGCCCGCAGCCCGCGCCTCTCGCCCCACAGCGGAGGGGGCTCTGGTCCTGTCCTCCACTGACAAGGGCGCTAATCTCATCCTGGCCGTGTCACCCTCGTGACCTCACCAAACCCTGCTCCCCTCCCAGAGGCCCCCAGCACACCCCGCACTGTCGGTTAGGGCTTCAGCACGAGCTTGGGGGGACGCAGAAATTCAGTTCACTGCACTTTGTGACAGTCCGTGGAGGGTGTAACAGTTTGCCCCGTTTGTCAGTTTTTGACGTTCATTGTTGAGCTGGCTTCAGGTGCGGACCCTGGACGTCTGCTCCCCCGCACACACCTGCTGCCGCACCTACACCGCAGCTGCCGCCTTGTGGGCATGCGCGCTGCGGCCGCAGGCCTTCACTTGGCTCCGAGCGAAAGTGCACCCCTTCCTGCCAAGCTTCTGTGTCTCCACACGCTGCCTCTTAACTGTCGACTTGCAGGCCAGAGTGGCATCTCGTCTTCATTGGCCCCTGGTTGCTCGTGACACCGACCCATTACACGCTTATTTGCACTGTCCTTCCTGTCCAGAAATTGCCGGTAATCCTCCGTTACTGGTTTTGGGTGCTGTCTGTCTGCTCTGTCTCATCGTGGTGAGGGTTGGCGCTCTGGGTAGCAGCGGCTGCACCTCAGTGACCCCCCTCTCTGCCCCAGTTCCTGCTGCTTTGCAGCATCAGCAGTGTCCTCTGCACCCTCCCCCTCCCGAGCTTCCTTCACCTCAGGAGGCCTGCCACTCGCGCCACGCGTCCTGATGAGCCACCCTCCTCCCCGTGTCTGAGAGCCCTGCTCATGCTGCACTCTGGACCCTGCTGCCCCTGGCAGGGGCCTGTCCCTCGCGGACAGCCATCCTGCTGTCCCCACACTCTCTTAGATGACCTCATCCTTCAACAGCGTTTGCTGGGAACCCAGCCCTGACCTCCAGCTTGACCTGGAGGTGCTGTGTCCACTGCCCACAGCACCTCCACAGTGCTGCCCAGCTCTCTCCGAATGGCCACTTCGGGGGTCACTTACCTGCTTCAGTATACACCCAGAGTTCATGGGGCGGCTCAGGGCCCAGCAGCGGGGGCACTGCCCTGTGCAGCTGAGGCTCCCCACAGTTGGAGCCTTCCCAGGAGGCACCAGAGCCACCCTTAGTGGCTTTTCACCTGTCTTCACAGACCCACCTCTGATACTTAGATGTCCAGAGAGCTCTGAGCTTGCGGCGTTTGCTGGCTGTGTGCCTCGGCCCCAGGCCAGCTGATGTCCAGGACCCTGTTTGGCAGCAGCGAGGTGGGGGGGTAGGGAGTGGGGGGTGGAGCACTTTCCTCTGGTGTGGGTGGGTTAACTACCCAGGGCCTTGATTTCCCCAAAGGGTGCAAAGGCATTGTGGCCCCCATAAGAGAAATGGATGGCCGCTCGCACTGCACAGTTGAGCTGTAGCAGTGGTGGGACTTGGGAGGATGGACGTGGAGCGTGGCTCCCTGAAACCCCCACAAGGCCTCCGGCAGTCGGTCCTACCGGACATCCCGTGTTTAGGATGAAAGCATCCGACAGCACAGTGTCTGGTGTTGGACAAGGGTTTCGGGCCCCTTCCCTGGTGACACAGGTGTAGAGTACCCATCATATGTCATACGTGCCTCTCCTGTTTCTAGAGGGGGGCTGCGGCACAGAGCACGTCTTCTAGATCACAGCGCTCTTCCTGGAGGTTGGACAGAGTGGCAGGGACCCTTCCCACCCCATGTCACAGCTGAAGCCAGCAGGGGCAGACCCCTGGGGACACCCCGACATGCTCAGACCTGTGCTTCTTCTCAGGCCCCACCATGTCCAGGCCCCGGACCCCAGAGCCAGCCCTGGACGTGCAGGGAGACTCCCCAAAGGGCATGAGAGACGAGGACAATGACGACGGGACCCAGCACTCCCATCGCATGCTCAACTTCAGCGATGCACTGCTGTCCATCATCGCCACCGTGATGGTCCGTGTGGCTGCCCAGCCCCCCACGGGCCCCAGCCACACCCTCCCAGCAGACCCTGACTTCTCTCAGCCACATCCCGGGCTCCCCAGCTCCTCAGGCAGCTGGGGGTGGGGAGGGGGAGCGGCGTTTGAGAGCAGTCAGTGCCCACCCAGCCCAGGAAGTATCTTCAGTCCCTTTTGTGTCTTTATTCTCATAGATCCTGCCTGTGACCCACACAGAGATCTCCCCGGAGCAGGTACTTGAGCAGAGTCTATGATGTCTGGGGTCGGGGTCAGGAGCAGGTACTTGAGCAGAGTCTATGATGTCTGGGGTCGGGGTCAGGGTCCTCGAGCCCCAACTTGTGCTCCACTCAAGGTGCCTGGCCTGTGAACAGAGGCAGAGTCCTCGGGGAGCCTTCAGGGTGGGCGGAGAAGAAAGGTGCGAGACCCTGCCAGGCATCCAGTCTGGTGTGGAGCCCCCCTCGCAGTGGCTGCTCAGAGAGCAGCGGGCGGCCTGCCTGCCTGACCGGGCGGCCCAGGGGCTGACAGCCTCCAGGGAGATGCCCTGCCTTGGCCTGCTGGACGCACAGGGACATGTGTGGTTTTGGTCACGGAGGTGAGTGGAAACAGGATGTTCTAAAGCAGAGTTTATAGCACATTTGGAATATTTCTGTTCTGTAAGTTAAATAGCAACAGAAGCTGGACGTGATTTTTAGAAGCACTTTGAAAGTCCCTGGGGCCTCCTTGAATGTGGAGGGGTGCCTTCGAGGCTGAGGAGTGGGTGCGCGGTACCGGGCCTGCCAAGCACACCCGGCTGCCATCCGGTCCTGACCAGCACACTGAGCCCAGCTGTCAGTGGGGGTTGTGGGGCTGCTTAGAGTTGGCTTTTGCATCTGGAAAGGTAACAGTGCTTCTCGTAGGGTTTTGCCGGGAATTATAATAAGCAGAAATGCAGGTGGAGCCTGACATGGCAGCTGGCACACAGCATGGTGACTGAGGGCCCAGCGCCAATTCCTCTGTTCTGGAGCGCCCTACAGAGGGACCCCGGTGGGCTCAGGAAAGCTCTGTCCCCACTGGGGGCCGCCAGGCACCATGGAGTACAGCTGTGTGAAAGTGATGCTCTTCTGTTCCAGCAGTTTGACAAAAATATACAGAAACTTCTGGCAACCAGGATTGCTGTCTACCTGATGACGTTTCTCATCGTGACCGTGGCCTGGGCAGCACACACGAGGTATGGGGTGTCAGCAGCCCCCCTCTTCCGGGCTGAGCCCCTCCCTGCCCCTCACACTAATACTCGCTCCAATCCTCTGCCTCTTCCGGGGCACTTGGCAACAACAGGGGTGACGGCTCACCAGACGGTGAAAGGGGGTGATGTTTGCAGGTCTGGGCCCTGTGGGGCAGCCATCTTAAGACGGCACAGGGAAGGGCTCGGGAAGGGCTGTGAGCCAACGCCCCTGCTCCCCGTGCCATCACATGGCATGCCCGGCCCCAGTCACAGTCCCAGGAGTTTGGCCACAAGGACGAGGCTCTGAGACCCGAGCTTTCTGTGAAGGAGGAAAAGGGTCCCTAGGGTCCGAGGGAAATGGCCCCATAGCTGCAGGGGACTCCTGTGTCCCCAAGTGGGACACCCAGGCATAGAGTTGGGGTGGAGGTGGGGTGCCCTTGGAAAGGAAATGCTCTCTAGTAGGCTTGGTGGGTGTGCAGGAAAACCCAGGGGCCTTTGCTGGCACTTGCATTAAAAGCATCTCAGTGTTTTCAGCACAGTGGCTATGCCTGCTGGGGACAGGCTTAGGGGACAGCTTTTCTCCACCTCCCTTATTTACAGAGAGCTGGGTGGGTCACAGCCACCTCTGTCCCATCCTGCTGATGGCCGGGCTCCTGTTAGACTAACAGCAAGGACAGGACCACACAGCACCTCACATGTCCACTGGTTCACAGCGGCCCTCATGGTCGGGCTCCTCGCCCGGGGCTTGGCGGGGCTGGCGTCTGTATGGGATCGGGGCCCCTTCCTCTGACTTTGGCAGAGGACAGTGCCCTGAGGCTACCATTGGCCCCTGGCTGGATGCAGACCACCCAGGTGGGGCACCGAGGCCTGCTGAGCCCAGTCCAGGAGAAGGCCACTACCTCAGAGGCAGCAGAGCCCTGAGGGGCCCCCTGGAGAGGCTGGGCGAGGAGGGCAGGGCCTTGTTCTAGGTCCTGAACTGGCTGGCGGGCTCTGCTCAGTTTTCAGTTGTGCCTTCCTGCAGGACATAAAACCTCTCTCTGCAGAGTAGGCTATTCCATCGGGTTTAGTGTATGACACCCGTCCTGAAAGGACTGCCTTTTTAAAAATGGTGTTTGAACACAAGGCCTGAAGAACAGATTCATGTAGGTTAGAGCTAGTCCTTTACAGGTCTCCTGGGCTGCCAGGGGACGTCCCAGAGCTTCGGAACAGGCAGCCAGTGGCCCCTGAGGACGTGTCCTCCTGTAGGCCCCACACAGGCCTCCCTCCGTGGCTGCGGCTGCGGGGAGCGGGGTCAGCCTGCCCTACAGCTATCGGGCTTCCTGTGTTGGTACAGGCGGGCTCTCTGGTCAGGGCAGCGGCTGTGAGTGACAAGGGAACATGTGAGCATGTTAGTGTGACAGTTTTCCCCCAGACTTACATTTTCTGTACGTTTCCAGTATTTTCCAACCTTCATACACTGGGTAGTATTTTAAATTTGGTTTAAGAGGACATATTTTAAATGTTCTTTAAAGAGAAAACAGTGGGTGCTCGCTTCGGCAGCACCTATACTAAAATTGGAACGATACAGAGAAGATTAGCATGGCCCCTGCGCAAGGATGACACATAAATTTATGGCCCCTGTGCAAGGATGACACGTAAATTCATGAAGCGTTCCATATTTTTTTTAAACAAAAAGGAAGCCTACTGAATGGGAGAAGATATTTGTCAACAATATATCTGATAAGGGGTTAATATCCAAAATTTATAAAACATTCATGCAACTCAACACCAAAAAAACCAAACAGCCCAATTAAAAAATGGGCAGAGGATATGAAGAGGCATTTCTCTAAAGAGGACATACGGATGGCCAACAGGCATATGAAAAAATGCTCAACCTCACTAACCATTAGGGAAGCAAATAGAATCCACAATGAGATACCACTTCACTCCAGTCAGAATGGCTATCATCAATACATCAACAAACAACAAATGCTGGCAAGGTTGTGGGGAAAAGGGAACCATGGTGCACTGTTAGTGGGTCTGCAGGTTGGTGCAGCCACTACGGAAATCAGTATGGAGATATCTCAAAAAACTGGAAATGGAACTACCTTATGACCCAACAATTCCACTCTTAGATATTTATCCAGAAAAACCCAAGACATTAATTCGAAAAAATGTCTGCACCCCTATGTTCATTGCAGCGCTATTTACAATAGCCAAGACTTTAAACAACCGAAATGCCCATTGGTAGATGACTGGATTAAGAAACTGTGGTACAGGGCCGGCCGAATGGCGCGTTGGTTAAGAGCTGGCTTGGGACACCAGAGGGCCCCGGTTCGGATCCCACATATGAGGGCCAGTGACATTGTCCTCTACAGCTAAGATGCTGAACAACAGCTCAACCTGGAATTGGGTTGCAGTGAGTCGCCAGTGATAGCGTAGGCTGCAGCCCCTGCAGCAGTGGGTTGCCATGGGCTACCGTGTGTAGCCAGCAGCCAGCGTGAGCGGCCCGCAGCCGCCGTGAGCAGCCGTCCAGAAGCCGGCGACTGATCTGCCTCACCCAGGAAGAGTGCAATGATGGTGCCAACTTGGGCCAGTGAAGCAATGTCCTCCACAACTAAACTGAAAAACAAAAGGACAGCAACTTGTCTGTTCCCCTTCCCCCAGTTCCCCAGTGCTATTCCCATCCCCCAATTCTCCAATAAAAATCTGAAAAACAAAACAAAACTGTGGTACATTTACACAGTGGAGTATTACTCAGCTATAAAGAAGAAGGAAATCGTTCCATTTGCAATGATGTGGATAAACTTATAGAACATTATACTCAGTAAAATAAGAGAAAGACAAATATATGATCTCACTTATACGTGAATTCTAAAAAACTGAATAAATGAGAAATGTAAACAGAAATAGTCTCAGAGACACAGGAAAAACTGATAGTTGCTAGTTGGGAGGGGCTGGGGATGAAGAAGGGGAAGGGATGAGACAATATTAATTGGTAACTACAATATGGCCCCAGGGATAGAAAAGACAGTCTGGAGAATATAATCAATAACGTTGTAAATATTTTTTAGGGGGCCAGATGGACTCATGTCTTGTTAGGGAGACCACCTCATAGTCGGTATAGAGGCCTGACCACTGCACTGTATTTCTGAAGCTGATATTGAATAATATTGTATGTCAACTATAATTATATATACACATAGTCACGGGATGTGGAGTAGAGAGTGGGAATGGAGTCAATGGAATTGTAATAGATAAGCATGATATCGGGGGTGGGAGGGCAGTGGATGGGGGAAGGGGGTTGTTACTTTGTGAGGGTGAAAAGGATAACTAGTGCATTGTTCTGTACACCTGAAACTAATAATAATAAAAATTAAAAAGAAAAAAAAGAGAATAGCAGATGTGTTTGATGCTGTTAGGACCGTATTTTATTGAAGGCGTATCTTCTCTTTTCCTTAAATCCTGTAGATTGTTCCAGGTTGTTGCGAAAACAGACGACACACTTGCCTTGCTCAACCTGGTGAGTTTTTCCTTTTGTTTCTTTGGAAATGATTGCATGTGTAGCCCCGCCTTCTGTGGAGGAGTGAAAGCAAGCACTCAGCTTCTCTGGTGCCGTCCACAACCTCCGGGCGGGCGGGCGGGAGGGCGTGCCCGGCCTGCCTGGAGTGACCTGCCTGCCACCCCTCCTGCTTCCCAGGCCTGCATGATGACCATCACGTTTCTCCCGTTCACAGTGAGTACTGGCGATTTCCTAGGCCTTGCTGAGCAGCCCCTGGGTGCTGGGGAGGGGCCTCCAAACTCAAGCTGTTCCCCTCTCAGGCTCAGACCCACGGCTGGTCCAGGGTCAGACAACGCACTTGGGAAGAGGAAAGGAGGTTCAGGGGGCCAGTGGTCCTGTCTGCCTGGGGTTGCAGGCTGGGGGGAGGAGGGGTCTCCCAGGGCCAGTCCAGGCCCAGCCCCAGCACGTGGCCCCCACTCACAGAACTCCATGGGAGCCGAGGCTGGGTGCACAGGGCCACCCATCACAGCATTGGGGCCTGGTGGCTTCTGTGAATCTGGTGACAGTCACCTTTCAAAGCTTAAAGCGTCTGAGGGAATTGCTCTTGTGGGAGGGGACCCCAGGGCCCTGGCTGCCCCCCCGAGACTGTTGAGCCTGCACACCCTGCTCCTGTGTTTTCTTGGCTGCAGTTTTCCTTAATGGTGACCTTCCCTGAGGTGGCCCTGGGGATCCTGTTGTTCTGCGTGTGTGTGATCACCATTGGGGCTGTGCAGGTGGGACGCCGGGGCCTGCCCTCCCCTCCCCACATGCATGTCCTCCGGGAGCACGGGTGCTCAGGTGGGATGTGGCGTGTTGGCTGCTGGGAGGGCCGTGCAGGTGGTTGCCCGTCGTGGAGCACCTGCTGTGGGCCACAGCAGAGAACCCGGAGAGGCTGGGGGCCTGGGTGCCGAGAGGGTGAAGCGGGACCACCCGGGTCCTTGGCAGAGCGGGAAGAGCTGAGACCCACCCCACACGCAGCCCAAGAGCAGAGCAGGGGCTCCTGTCCCCCCTGCAGCCCTAGAAGGTGCCGCTGTGAGCCTCGGCACAGCCTGCGCCCCTGAGGGCCACGCTCGAGGACTCTGCTCTCCCACAGGTGCTGATCGTCCTGTACGCATTCCACTTCCCCCACCTCCTCAACCCCCAGATCGCGCGCTCCGCCCACCGTGCCCTGTACCGGCGGCATGTCCTGTACATTGTGCTCCGGGGCCCAGCGCTGTGCTTCGCAGCCGCGGGCTTCTCCCTGTTCTTCTACCCAGCGGTGAGTGGGGCGGGGAGGCACCCACAGGAGCACTGCGTGTCAGCAGGATCAGCTACAATGCCGGGCGTCTGGCTTGTCACCCACATGACACTTTCAAGGTTCACACGTGCTGTGGGTTGTTGGCACCTCCTTCCTTTTCGTTACCCAGTAATGTCCCACGGTGTGGATGGACCACCTTTGCTTCCCACTGTCTGCTCACGGACACACGGGCGGCTACCATGTTTTCGCTGTAGTGAGCAATGCTGCTGTGAACACGGGTGTGCACATGTCTCTTCGAGACCCTTTGCACTCTTGGGTGTGTGCCCAGAAGTGGATTGCTGGGTCACAGGGAAGTTCTGTGTTTAACTTCTGAGGGCCCCACAGGGTCCCCCAGCAGCCGCACCACTTTGCGTTCCCGCCGAGGCACAGGGCTCCCTTCCCCGCATCCCGCCAGCACGTGTGCCCCTTAGGGAGACCGTCCTGGGTTTGAGGTGGCGTCTCCTTGTGGTTTTGATGCCTCTCCCGGATGATTAGTGACATGAACATCATTACTCTTCTTTGAGAGATGCCTCCTTGGGTCCTCTGCCCGTTTGCATTGCGTGTGTGTCCCTATCACATAGGAGACCCTCATCACACACGTGCCTGGCAGGCACTTTCGTCCCCTGAGCAGCCGGTCCGCTCCACGGTCGTGTTCTTCGATGCACAGGTGTTCACTTGATGAAGTGTCACTGTACTGTGTTCCGTTGCTCGTGGTGCCCCTGGAGCAGATCGCTTGGGGGGACTCCTGGCTCTGGCCCCTGATGTGTCGTGTGTCTCGTGCAGTCATACCTGCTGATGGCAACGGTCATCTTCCTCCCCTACATCCACAAGGCCGCCAGCTGGTGCCGACGCAGGCTCATGGGTGCGTGACAAAGCCCCTGCGACGGCAGGCCATCCCCGTGGGGTCCCTCCCCCGACCCGCATGCTCCCGGCCCCTTGAGGAAGAGGGCAGCGGTGTCCGTCCTGGTGGCCCCACAGCCCCGAGGGCTTGGCCAGCCCCTCCTTCCTGCCTCGTCCACAGGCCCCCGGGAGCCCCCAGCGCACAGCGTGGAGGTCTTCTCTTTTGACCTGCAGGAGCCTCTCAGCAAGGAGCGGGTGGAGGCCTTCAGCGACGGGGTCTACGCCATCGTGGCCACGCTCCTCATTCTGGACATCTGGTAAGAATCCACGCTCAGGCCGCCTCGGCCTTGTAGCGCCACCCTCCCAGAGAAGGAACCCACCCTGGGCAGTGCTCCCAGCGTGGGGTCTTCCGTGCCAGCAGCCCCACCTCAGCGAGGCAGGGGCAGGGGGCGCTGGCAGTGCACAGAGGAGGGGCAGGCCGGCCTCCTCCCGCCCTTGTGTCCCTGCGCCGTTGCCCTCGGCTCTCCCGATCCACCCCTCAGGCTGCCACAGGCCTAATCCTGGCTGTCGTGTTGTTATTGCTAGGTGCTATGCATCTGCTTTTCAAATCTCCCTTTTTCATTCTCCTGTTCCTTGGTCGTATTTCAGTGCATTATTTCGTTAAACCTGTTAGTTAGAAACTGATCTTATGCTCCGTGTCTGACAGTGTAGTCTAGATTCTCCTAATTCTCTTGATAGCTCTTTCCTACTGTAATTTGAATTTGTAAAAATCGGGAGCAAGGCTCCATTGGTACAGATCGCGGAGGCCTCGACCCAAGGCTCCGGAATGACCTGCCGCTGCTTCCCCACTGCAGCCAGGGCCACACTAGCTTGGGTCCCCTCCGTGAGGGGTGTGAGGAGCAGCTGGGGAGGGGTCGTTCTTCCCTCCACCCTCCGTCCCACTGAGGGCCTGGTGGGCCCCAGGCAGCACCCCTAGGCTCTGGCTCCTGCTCCCACCTTCAAATCCTCGAGGTTCCAGGCCCCCCGCCCCCAACACATGTACAGTGCCGCGTGGGGACAGTGTCTCAGGCCGCCTCCCTCCCGCCCCCATGGGCTGTGGGTTGCAGGGCAGCAGCCCCACGACCTCCAGGAAGCGGAGAAGCTGGGGCCTCGACCTGCCTTACAACTGCTCCTTGCAGTAACATGGCCCCGGAGTCTGAGAGGCCGACCCCCAGGCCTGCGGTCCGCTCCCCAAGTGGACCCACGGCTGCAGGGGCACACGGACCTCACAAGCACCCCGCCATGGTGTCCGGCGGGCAGGGCTACCAGATAGCAAAGAAGTGCGGGTGCAGTTGAACTTGAACTGAGACGAATGGCGCGTGACTGTTGAGTGCGCCGCGCGCGTGTGCAGATCCAGGATTGTGTAAGCTTAGCGTGCCCACCTGGAATCAGGTGAGCCCAGTCAGGCGGGGATGGGAGGGACTGCAGCCCTGACGCGCGCCGCGGAGGCTGCTGCAGGCGCCGTCTGTTCACCTCCGCAGTGAGAACAACGTCCCGGATGCCAAGGACGTGGCAGAGCGGTTCCACGGCAGCCTGGTGGCGGCGCTGAGCGCGTCGGGGCCACGCTTCCTGGCCTACTTCGGCTCCTTCGCCACTGTGGGGCTGCTCTGGTTTGCCCACCACTCGCTCTTCCTGCACGTGCGCAAGGCCACGCAGTCCATGGGGCTGCTGAACACGCTGTCGCTGGCCTTTGTGGGCGGCCTCCCGCTGGCCTACCAGCAGACCTCGGCCCTCGCCCGGCGGCCCCGCGATGAGCTGGAGAGCGTGCGCGTCAGCTGCGCCATCATCTTCTTCGCCAGCGTCTTCCAGCTCGCCATGTGGACCGCGGCGCTGCTGCACGGCCCGGACACGCTGCAGCCATCAGCGCGCTTCGGCGGCGGCGAGCACGCCTTCATGCTGGCCAAGCTCGCACTGTACCCCTGTGCCAGCCTGCTGGCCTTCGCCTGCACCTGCTTCCTGAGCCGCTTCAGCGTAGCCATCTTCCACCTCACGCAGGTCGCTGTGCCCTTTGCCTTCCTGCTGTTGCGTCTGCTGGTGCGCCTGGCCCTGCGCCTGCTGCGGGCACTGCCGAGCCTGGCGGGGCCGGCCCCTGATGCCCAGGACGCCGCTGCGCGGGCCCCGCTACTCCCTGCACCCTGCTAGTGCCCCAGCCGGAGCACAGGGTCCGGGGGTGGCTGCCCCTTGGGGAGACTGTTCACTGCTCTTCCACAGTCCCACAGGGACTCGGCTTTGTGGCAGTGCATAGCCCCTCTCCTGGGCCACACTGGACAGTCCAGGGGTTCCAGGGACAGCTGAGGCCCAGCAGGAACCCTTGGCCTTGTTCTTGGGGGCCACATAGGCAGCGGTGCAGCCCCTCCCAGGAGCCAGCCCAGCCCACCTGCCCACCCACCCCACACGCACAGCTCCGTGGGGGCTGCTGGTCTGCAAGCCCCCCTCCCCACGCACTGGCCTTGGGCACAAAGAGGAGTGAGACACGTGGACAGTGATGCCCAGGCTGCATTTGTCGAAGATATAAGTTAGGGCACATTCAGGAGGCGTGGCTACACGGGAGGACACGTGCAGGCCCAGGCCCTACCTGGGCACAGGACAGCTTGCCCCAAGCATGGTTTACAGCAAGTCCTGCAGAGACTGATTACACCGCCGGCCGAGGCGTGAGGAGGCACACGACCGCCAAAAGCTGTTCAGTGCAGTTGTCAGTGTGATTTTGGCAGAAGCTTGGGGGCATGGCTGGGTGGGCCGCGGCTCAGCGCAAAGGCCCTTGGGGTGCCGGGGCCCCGCCCTGCCAAATGGCACCAGCAGCCAAGGGACAGACGATGGGATGGGGTGCAGATGTCCTGGGCACATTGTAAAGGTTTGCTCAGGTTCCACCTGGGGTCTGAGACGAGGCTGGGAGTGGCTGGCCCAGCAGCCACGTCCCCTGTCACCAGGTGTCCATGTGAGAAAGCTCTGACTGTAAGTCCTGTCTGCTGGGCAGACCTGGGGACCGCCGTGTCGCTTGTTGGCCTTGGTCATTAAAGCTGGCTGGTGCACACCTCTCACTACTGGACTCCCTCTGGGCCTGCGGGCCAGACCTGCAGGAGTTGGCTTCTGGTCCCTTCCAGGCCTGCTGTGCCCCACCCCTCCAGCTGCCTCCTGGGCACCATACTCCATCCTCTGGATGGTGGCTGAGCCCACTGGCCTCAGGGCCCTCTGCAGTGTATCCCTGTCACTCCTGGCCACAGCCAGGCTCACAGTGACAAAACCAGGAGAGAAAGCATACAGCAGGTGCCCACACCCAGCCCTCAGTGGTGACGTGAGGCCAGAGGAGCTGATGGTGGGCATCCCACGTGTGCTGGGTCCCTGGGGCCCACAGAGCCAGCTGCTCTGTAGGTGCATCCAGGGGCACTGCCCAAGGGGCACCAATGAGGTCCAGTGCCACCAGCTCGAAGCACTCAGGTGGCTGCAGACACAAAGGGAGGAGTGCCTGTCCTCCATGATGGTGGCCTGGGCCTCAGGGGCCAAGATGATTGGCTGGCCGGAGCCCCTGCCCACCTTGTCACTGGTGCAGAGGCAGGGGTGTGGGGAGAAATGCCCCGAGATCAGGCCACAGGCAGGTCCATCCACTGCCAGCCGCTGCTACAGGACGGGCACAGCATGCTCCGGGCTGTCCGCTACTTGGGGTCCCCCTCGGGGGTAGGCACCCCGTCTGCTCGGGCATCCTTGGGGGTCCCAGCCTTCTTGGGCTTCTGCTTGGCCTTTCTGAGCATGTGGACCTGTCCCGGGACAGGCAAGGTCAGAGGGCTGGGTGACACCACAGGCCAGAACCCCCAGCGCCGTCTCAGCCCATTTTACAGAGGGAGAAGCAGCAGCTGTGGGGCAGGGGCTGAAGCCTGCCACTGCCCAGCACACAACCTCTGTGGCCCCAGGCGGCTCATCGCCACCAAGAGGCAGGTGTTCAACGCCAGCCAGCCTCACCTGGGCCCCACATGAGCCCTCGGGGTAAGGGAAGACCTGGCTGCAGCAAGCCCCCACCAGACTCGCCTCACGACTCACAGACCTTTGGGCACGCAGCTGAGATGATCATGTGCCCAGGAGCCTGGACCCAGGGCTCACCGTCCACCTGCACAGGTGTGGCCTTGAGAAGGGTGACGCGGAAGTAGGAGCCTTGGGCGATGCGGATGCCTGAGCGCAGCCCACCCTGGACCTGGCCCTGGTGGGGAGAGGGCGGCTGGGCTCAGCAGGCAGCAGCACCAAATGGATGGCCCCCTAGGGCCGCCCACACTCACCATGTGCATGACGCCCGTCACCCCCACCACCTCCAACAGCCCGTCGTCCATTCGTGGCTTCTCGAACTTTGAGTCGCTGTCGGAACCCCACAGGTCAGCGCCCGACCCCCAGCTGTGCCAAGAGGAAGGGGTGCACAGGTAAGCCTGCAAGCTGCCCAGGACCAGGGTCCCGCCCAAGGCCAGGGCTGAGGCTGCAGGTGGGGCAGAGCCCCTGGGGAGCCCCCGCCGGCACCTGGGAATGTTGATGAAGATGAGGCCCTCGATGCTGGGCAGCTCCACCTCCTGCTGCCCCACCTGCAGCCGGATCTCCTTGTGCAGGCTGCGGGAGTGGCTGATCTTCTGCAGCCCGACCCGCACGTACACACCCTTGTTGTGGAACCTGCAGGAGGAGGCACACCTGTCACAAGGTGGGGCCCTTACCCAGCCTAAAGCAGCCCCCGGGTTCTAGCACATCTCCACCAGTTCCTGCTGGTGAATCCCCAGAAAGTACGCCATCACCAGAGGGCAGCCCCTCTCTGCCCAGAGCAGTCCCAAGCGCCTTGATCCTCTGGCACCTGCTCGTGAACTTGCCGGGCTCCTCCTCTCGCGCCTGGTGGAAGTCCAGGCTGAGCTCTGCGTCAATGCCAATCCCACAGTAGTTACTCATCTGCACGATCTGGGGACAAGACGGATTCTCCCGTGGCCCTGTCAGCCCCCACCAGGTGCTCCCACCACCCCCAAGCTGGTCCAGCCTCCTCGTCTCCAGCGCCACTCCACCACTGTTGTCAGAGCTGCTCTGTCCAGTGACTGCCCTTAGTACCGCCAGCATCCAGAAGGCGGCATGGCACATGGCGTAGGCAAGGCTTTGGCCGGCCAGCCGTGGACACACATGCCACCTGGCCATCACTGCTCTGTGCCTCAACCTCCCCGTCCATAAAGGGGATGGGACAAGGGAAAGTCCCTGGACACATGGTATGGCCACCTGCTGGAGGCCCACCGCTGCCACACCTTCACCCAGGCACACCGGTACCTTAGGGGGCTCCATGTCGGCCAGGCCGTTCTCTGCACCACTGGCCTCGTGACCATCCAGCAAGATGGTCCAGCGGTCCATGAGCACAGCATCAGCCTCATCCACTGACACCAGCACGGAGAGCGGGTCCTCGCCACTGTAGCCTGCCCCCCAGCGCAGGACCCGGCCAAGGTCGTTCCCTGGGACAGGCGGGACGCAGGCTGACTCCCCATCCGCACCCCTCCATCCGAGGCCTCGCATGAAGCTTGGGGCAGGAAGGTATAAAGCCCAAGGCCCCATCTCCCAGCTTGCTGGCTGACCCCACCTGTGCCCAGGGGCAGGATGGCCACAGAAGGCTCCGGGCAGGCCAGACGGTGCCGCGTCTCCTCCAGGGCGGCAAGCACCCAGCCCACGGTGCCGTCCCCACCACACACCAGCACCCGGAAGCAGGGCACCTGGGAGAACACGTGGAACCTGGTGACAGGGAGACAGGAACTGTCCCGCCACCAGCCACGGCCACCCAGGTGCACAGTGAATGGGGCAGGAGGTCATGACCTGGCTACAGATGGGGCTGCAGCTCACCCCTACCCCTACCCCCCCCTCCCCGCCGTCAAGACAGCCCTTGAGGGTTCTGACACCGAGCCCCAACCTGTTCCCACCGGCCCACCAATGGGTGTATGAAAGTCCCTCCCAGGGCCTGGCAAGCAGTGGGGGCCCCACCAGACTCACCCGGGAAGAGGCCCCCCGTTGGTCAACTCAAAGACCTGGTGAGGGTTTAGCAGCTTGCGGAAACTGCAGAGCAGTTCACGGCCCTTGAGGCCTCCACTCTTGGGGTTCACAAACACGAGGAGAGGGCAGCAGTCTGGGGGCAGCTTGGTGTGCTGACAGATGGGGACTGAGTTAGGGCAGGTCTCTTCCCCCACCACACTGCTTGGGCAGTGACTGGCCCCCAACCTGAGCCCACCTGGGGCAGCCCCCTCCCTAGGAAGGTACACATGAGGCCCAGGGGACCACATGGCCATCCCTAGCTCACCACTGACCATTGGGAGCACCCCCAAGGCAGAGGGGGCACCCAGAGGCCGCTGGCCAGTGGGGACATGAGGCCGGCCAGCCTGGAGCTGAGTACACAGGCCGAGTCACACCCAGACACACCTCCTGAAACTGCACACCACTGACCCGGGAGGCCACAAGCCCAGGTTGGAAGCCCACACGGGACCCCATCTGCCCCTCTGGGGGCCAACTGTACACAGCCTGGGAGGACACAGCTACCAGGGACCCACCCACATGGCAGCCAGGAGGCTCAGGACGAAGCCCATCCCCCCCCCAACCTCCAAAATGTGCCCAGGAGACTTGGCAGGGGGCTGGAGTTCCCACAAAGGAAAACGGTGTGGACTGGGGTCTCTACAACGGTG